ATATTGCTCCACTTTCTCCGGTCCCCGAGATTGGGCTTCCAGTAGCTCTGGAGAGAGCTTTCGCACCTGTGGCCACTAACGGTCATAATTTCTCTGCTTTGTTTCAAGACCCGCATCAGAAAGCTTTTGAATGGTGCTACTTTTCCAGTTGGTCTACCTGCTCTTCACGTAGCTCTGCATGTCGTAGTTTAGGTGCTTTTTTTTCTGATAGGAACTGCTCAATCCACCCCTCCATAGTAAGACCACCCCGGAGGTCGAAGTTAATCTTAAATGTTTCCATCTTATGCTTTTTAAGTTTGTTTTGTAACGGAAGAAATGTAAATATATCTATAAAACGGTCAAATCAAGCAATTTGATTGGTCGATAGTGTTTTTGCGGACCTCTTTGATTACAGATTTGAAAACATCGTTGCTTGCTTTAAAAGTAGCACAATTCATTATGTTAAACCTTGGAAAGTATCTAGATATCCCTGCCCTAATGCCAAAGGAACTGCACACTGAATATGTTTTGCCGTTTGATGTCTATGTCTGGACCGCTGCGTAAAAAGGAGGGCTTCTGCCCCGTTACTTCTCCGCTGCTTTCTTGTTCCAGTCTGAAAAGCTTTTCAGCCCAACTGTATACTGTTTTTCTCAGACGCGGAGGGATACTGACTTGTTGTGAAAAGTAACTTACAATTCTACCCGTGGTATACGCTCAGTATATCACGGCTAAGAACCAATCAGATTGCTTGATTTGACTTGTCCGTTTTATAATATATACAGTAATTATGCACTGGAAGCAGTGGAGACGCTGCGCACAGGTGATTGACAGCCGTAAGACGAACCACAAAATAAATTGACTTTGCTTACTATCATTTCTTAAAAGGGTAGAATATTGCGTTACATCTGAGTTATCCTGTGCATCCCCCGCCCCCCCCTGTCATGACTCCACTAGAGAGGGATTCCCCGATCATCTCTGAAAGTTTCTCATCAAGAGGGGAGGGGGGGGGGTGTCCCCGGCCCGTGGCACAAACACACGCATTATTTTGGTGACGATCTGACCTTCTTGCAGTTCACAGCGTGTTCCACATGCTGCAACTCTTTGTTATCTGCCTCTACCAAACAATATTATTAACTTGGCTCGACCGCCCCAACAAGAACCAAAGTATTACACGTTATGAAATGTTTTTTTTTTAAGCTGTTCTGTCGGTATTTCCTACTTTCTTCTTCATGCAGTCAGTCGAAAGGAATATTAATATGTGGTTGTTTCACTGACTATTTATAGGCAAATATGGGCGTTACGCTTGTTATCAAGTTGTCCTCCCCTCCTTATCTTCCTCGTCTCCCTCCCTTTTCTTTCCACCCTTCCTCTCCCTCCTCTCCAACAGAGCATGTGGCCACTTTGGTCTGACAGTTAAATGTCACTGTGGGTTCCCTCCGCCGTCCTCACCTCAGCCGCCGACCCAGAAAGGTTGCCTTCCTTCAATCTCCCTCTCTTTCCACTCAGTCCTTTGTTTCATCCTTTTTTATGTTCTCCTACTCGCTCTTCAGTATTCTTCTCTTGACCTTTGTTTCCTTCCCCTCTCAAACCTTCTTCTTTGCTTCCCTTTCATAGCTTCCTCACTGCCTTTCCACCTAATTTCTCTGTACTCCCTCTCCTTTCTATCCATCCTTCACCCACTCCCTCCCCTCCTCACCCCATCCCATATCTCTGACAGGAGCGGCAGCTTTGACCGGGGCTGTGACTCACACGGTGTCCACGGCGGTGATCTGCTTTGAGCTGACGGGTCAGATCTCCCACATCCTGCCCATGATGGTGGCAGTCATCCTGGCCAACATGGTGGCCCAGGGCCTGCAGCCCTCCCTGTACGACTCCATTATCCAGGTCAAGAAGCTGCCGTACCTGCCGGAGCTCGGCTTCGGGCACATGAGGTGCGTGAGGAGGAGTTCAGATTAAAAAAGGGTTGTTTAAAATGTGTGCTATGTCAAGAAGTAAGGATTTTTTCCCACTTACAATTTCATATCAAACAACGTCTGTCCTTCCAAGTTTACGGTAAAAGTCCATTTGCTTGTGCACTGCTTGTGTGTTTACAAGTTGTGGACAACCACCATCTGTGTGTCTGTCCTACAGCCAGTACAACATCTTTGTAGAAGACATCATGGTGAGAAGGGTGAAGTTTATTTCGTCTCAGTCCTCGTACAGAGAAGTCAAACATCTGCTGGACTCCTCCTCAATCAATTCAATCCCACTGGTCGACTCAAAAGGTAAAAGTTCATTGTAAACGGAACTACCATAATAGAAAATTAAATGAAAATATGTATTTTGTTACATCTAATATGCGCTGTACAGTAAATATCATCTAAACACTAATCTACAGAACCAAATCTTTAACTTAGTTTAACTTACTTCATGTTTTTAAAGAATAGTTTTGAGCATGGCAGTTTTGCCACTGTTGAATTTAGTGTGGTTGTAATTATTCCTCTTCCTGCTTCTAGACTCTATGATCCTATTGGGCAGCATTGACAGGTTGGAGCTCCTCGCTCTCTGTGATTGGTGGTTATCGCCTGAGAGAAGACTCCTGATGCAGGTAAGCTAAACATTAACATAATAATGCTTCGTCAAATGAATCTTCTACTTTGTTGCATCTGTGCTTTGTCTCAGGCTAAATGTGAGTATGCAGACGACTATCCAGATATAAAAGTAATTGATAATGCAATGATCAGCTGAACCTACTTATCAATTATTAAACATTTCTATGATGGTTGTATGACAAAAAAGATCTTAACCTACCCTTAGACCTGTAATTTGGATGAAGGAAACATCTATAAAAGGAAACTCTATTTAGAGTCATTTAATATGACTGTATTGTATATCGTTTTTCAAATGTCCATCATGTGGCTCCTTTGATCTGGTGATAGACCATAGGAGCATCATTTAGTGTATGCTGGCTGAAAGGCCTTTCTAACATGTGGAGGAAATGTGCATACTGTACTGTGTTTCATCGAAGAATCCTAAATGGGGTAAACTGGAAATAAATCAGGGTGTGACACAGAGTAATAGGGTTGTATTCACACTGCTGATGCAGTCTGTACTGATCTGTTGTCCTGGGTGTGTGTTCAGGGTCAGAGCCTACAGGAGCAGAACCAGTCCCAGGAGCACAGCTGGGAGTCCTTCGCCTATGTAGATGAGGAGGAAGAGGAGGACGGAGAGGAGGTGGGGCTCTGATGTGCTACAATCCTTTTTAAGCCATCAGTTGGGTTTTAGTACACATCATTTTTTTGTATTTTACTCATTGATAAATAAAAGACTATTATTAACTTTTACCATTTATTTTGAAAAGACATTTATTAAAAATGGCTACTTTTTAACATTTACTTGTGGTGTGCAGGGCAGCCCGGTGCAGGAGGAGAGGAACGGCCCCCTGCCCCCCCCCAAGCCTCAGGAGCCGTCCTCCAACCACACTGCTCCTGTCCCTGGTGAGCTGAGAGGACTTCAGATTCCTGAGTACATTTTTAGTTGATATCTCAGTGATATACTAACTAGTTCTTCTTTATGTCTGCGCAAGATATTTCTGGATAGATATGTTATAATGTTATTACCGTTTGGACAACTTTCTGTAGGTTAGCAGAGAATAAAGAGCTTACTAGGTCACCTTCTTTAGACACACACACACCCCCCGCCGCCGCCCGTTAAGATCTTAACTGTTAAAAAATAGGGCTGGCAGATATATGTTTATTATATCTATATTCTGATATGAGGATATAGAGGGATTTTGGATATTGTTATATTGTTTTATGGCACAAGTGTTGTCTTTACCTGGTTAGTTATGGACGGAAGTTATGTAATTCTCTCTAGCCCTTGCTACTGTAGCTTTGACAGTTGGCCTATTTGACCCATAATAACAATAACTTTCTGCCACCACTGATAATCTTAGCATTGCTAGGTTGCTATTAACTGTGCTCCTTGAGTTTGTTCACTGCTCTCTGAATACACTCACACACAAACACACACACAACACTTCAGACAGGATCAGTGCTGCTGTCTGATCACAGCCTGGTCTGCATGGATCCACTGGGGTATTACACATCAATGTGTATCGTTAAACGGGTACGGGACCTGACACAGACCCATTTAACTGCATATACCATGGATCTGAACCTGAACCAGAGAGAGGCAAGGATCATTGGTCTCAGGGTTTGGTTGCACCCATTTGTTCTTTGGAGAACAAACACGTTTTCTGCTCTCTCTTCCTTTGCTCCATTACAGCCGTCTGACATGAAGTCAAGGCTGTGCAATGAAAGCCTTATGGAGCTTGTCATAGTCATATTTATTCCTTCAGACAAGTTTTGCTTACTAGGGCGATGTAATGAGCTTTATTTTTTGCTCTGTCGCTCCTACTTCTCCTCAGGAAAATAATTTGTTAACATGTGTGACTCAGCATTTACTCTGAACCCAGATGGGGTATAAAGCTCACCAGCTTCTAATATGTGTTAAGTACATCTGTGCCGAAAGTACAATGGAACATTTTGTCAGCGCTTACGAACTATGAAGGAAAAAACCGTGGGAACAAATATAGGAAAAGGAACAGTGTTATTTTATCATATCTGTAGCCATTTAATACATGTTTTGATTTGTTCTGACCGTAACACTGTGTTAAGTGAGATTAAGATAGAGGATTTGTTTGCCTTTATTACAAAGTAAGGCCAATGATAGGCGAAAAGGTGGGAAGAGGGGGGGCGACATGCAGCAAAGGGCCACAGGTTGAATTTGGTTTGGCAGCATGTTTAATGCAAATAAACAGATGCCGTGTGTGCATCTATCTTGGTACAGAAAACTTCTCGGTAGCCGCTCACACTCAACAGTCTCCAAGTGAAACGGTATCCAGGCAACAACAATAGGGAGTTGCATGGGTCGTGGCAGACTCCATCTGCAGTTATGGATGGTTATTTCCCTCTTCAGCTTGAAGTCTGTCAAAAAGCTGCAGCTGTTCAGATTTCCGACCTTCACCCACTGACTGCATCTCCCTCTCCTCTCTCTCTCTTTCTCTCTCTCTCTCTCTCTCCCTCTCTCTCTCAGAGAAAGGTCCTCTCCAGTCTGTGAGGAAAACACTCAGGAACCTCTTCACCTCTAAGAGCAGACAGACAGAGGGACAGTCGCAGGTGTGTTTATGGATGTTTTATGTTGCATCTGTCCATTCCTAGGAATAATTGGGTGTTAATGTATACAACAGCTCAGTCATTTCCAACTGGTGGTACTCAAGAGCCTTGTTAAAATAAAACAGTTTCACTCCAACTGGCAAAAATCCTTAATTAAAAAAACAATCACATTGCTAGGATCTACTGTCGGATGGTTGGGGTAAATAGCAACGGCTTGTGATGTCTCTTTGATTGCAATTGTGTTGGTATCTCAAGTGGTACTTGGTAAATTGGGTTTGGTACATACTGTAGGGATACTTTGATCAAAGTTTGGAAACCTCTTCAATAGAGTCTGTTACTGCTCTATGTCATCTTGCTCACAAACATCTCTATTTTTTTTTTAAGCCAACTATGAAGACATTTGTACTAGATAAATATTGTTTTCCTTAATGAGCCATTGAAATGCAAATCGCCACCCACCCCTTAAGAAAAGCCATCCCAAAACCACATGCTCACGCTGACACTGATAGGGATATCAATATTTATCCAATATGTTTTGCAGGCTGAATTTGTCTTTATGGGCTCTGCTTTCCATTCAGGCAGAAAGACACTTATCTGATTGACGGACCACGCATACATACACAACTGCTTCCTCATCCACAGTCAAACTCCCCGAAGTGGAGCACCACCTTCTCATATGGAAATGGGAAAAAGCCAGATACTGGAGGTGGAGTTATTATTCAGCTTGGCGGTGAGCCTGGCTCACGGGGCAAGCAATACATGTCATCTATTTACACAAGCAGGAATAAAAAACACATTAGAAATAAGCATATGCGTGTAAGCTTGCAAGATTAGAATTTGATTTCTGTGCCTACTGCTGTGCCTTGTGTATTACCAGTCTGATTTTCTATTATGTTTTTGGATGCAATCCTATTCCTGCATGGGAACGGTTTATACAGCAGCTCTACAGACCTGAATATCAAATAGACACACAGTAGGAAATGAAGCCAAACCGTGGCTGAATTCTGCTGGTGAATCAGGTATTTGTCTACTTTCCCAGCCTCTAATGGCAGGTAACCAGCTACTGACCTTTAGAATATTATCTGGCTGGTGTATTATTGTCAGCATCTTGTTAATTTATTAGTATAATCGCTGTGGTTGCAGTGACAAACTCAACAATTGTAATACAGCTACACAGAATGCAATTAGTGATTTGTACAGGTTAGATAAACATAACAAGGGACTTTGTAAAAATGCCAAACCTTTTAAACAATGCTTCTCTATTTGGTTGGTTGATCAAAAAGAAAGCTCCCCCTGCTTTTGGCTATAGAAACCTCACACTTATTTTGTGTTGGTGTTTAACGAACAGTAGCAGCCAATCTGCCATGACAGTGAGTAGATGAGGGACCTATTGCTCATAAATGTAATTTTACAGAACAAGTCACAGCAGGTGTTGGCCTGAATTTCGCCTACAGCTTACTCACAGAGCATCTGTGCTGTGGGAGTGATGACCTGAAGAAAACCTGACGAAAGCAACCTGATTACAATCAATGTAGAGAGACATTAAATCCAATTCAAGATATGTCTAGATCAAATATTTTTCTGAGTATAGGGAAAGTAGTTATTGTTTCTGCAGACGGTTAAATCACAGGTGACAGTGTTTCATACATCTAAGAGTAAATGTTGAGTAAACAAATTGTGTAACTGAGCTGAAGTTATAGAAAGACATTGTACTTTGAGTCACTTTCCCGTTGCTCCCCTAATGTAAGGTTCAGGTTTTTAGTTTTAAAGATGAAATCTAGCCAGGTTTACAGAAGTCTGTAAAATTGTTCACCAACATTTCATCTTATATCTGTTTCTTCCTTGTAATTGTCCCCAGGAGCCCTGTCCTCCTCCCCTGTCAGACCCAATGACACCAGACCAGGTATGGTGATGATGAAGGGCCGGGTGATTTGCATGGTTTTACACAAAAGTCTGATAATTGATTGCAGAGTGGTGGTCAAATACTCACACACCCTCGGTCCTCTGTACAGGTGTCAACATGTCTAAGGTGGAGCAAGTTTTTGCCTAAATAAAATGGTTCACATAAAAATTCCAGCTGTCTCGCTTGTCCCAGGTTGGCAGCAGAAAGCTCAAAGATGGAACCATGCAATAAAAAAACCATCCAGATAACATTATCTACTGGACGCACGAGATTGGCGCATGGTGTTAAATAATCAACCCGCATGCTGATGAAAAGTTTAAGTTGAATACCCTAGTTTTGCATTTATGTAGATTTATGTTGTGACTCTTAGTCCTTATATGTGCTGAATCAGAAGAAAAAAATGTGAACTGACATTTAAAATCTATTCTAATCTATCAAAACTTGATGCTGCTTTAAGCACATTCGTCTTTAGTTTTTCTCTTTATTACATTTGTATTTAGTTTTTCTCCATGCCAACTGAAACTAAGCAACTAAACTAAAAGTACAGTTCTAAATGAACATTCTGTGGTTAACTCATTATGAATTCACTGCTGGCAAATCCATTTCAATCTATTCACATGTAGGTCACAGGTTTTAGAGATGTGTCACATTTGAGGAGACGACTCAGAATTAGGGCACTTTTTAACTGCACTGTGAACGCAGCCAGAATCTTAAATGAGACATCTGTGTTCATTGGAGAGCACAACAACATTACTGCGTCCTCCGAGTCCTGCTCTGTCTGCTGCTCTCCGTTTACCCCTCCTGGCTCTTTCCCAAAAGGCCCCCTTAGCTTCAGCCTCACACACACACCTCACATCAGGCACAGGCTGCTAGGTAATCCATAGAGAGGCTAAGGGCTGTCAGACATCCTAAATCTCAGAGGGGAGACCGGTGACATGCAAGGACAGAACACCAGGTTTCAAGGTCGTTCACAGCTGTTTACCTCCCCTCCTGCACACCTTCACTTTTACATCAACAGTGGACATGGATATGACCCGCTGTGGAAAGTAACTGAGTACACACTTGTTATGGTTAATTGCTTTATGCTTCTTCCTCACCACGTTTTAGAAGCATTTATTCTACTTTTTACTATTTATTTAACCAGCTACTTTTAACCTAATGAACACTTAACTTTCTTATGTATTCAATGACGCAGTACTGTACTACCAATATACCCATATTTATTAAATACAATTATATAAAAGTGTCTCGACATTACAGCATGTAAATGCTTTTACACATGTAGCTGATCAATCTGCTGCCTAAGTAAAATGTTGAATTCAGGACTTTTTCTTGTATTGGAGTATTTTCAGAATAAATTATTTCTTATTTCACTTAACTTAAGTACTTCTTCCACCTCTGGCTATTACCCATCATTCACACACATCCTGATATTTCCCTCTGACTGTAATAAAACATGTTTTTGCCGTCATGAGAGCAGCTCTGAACTGAAGCCACGAAGCTCCGCCTCTGTTGACCTGCTTCTTGTTTCTGCTGCAGATCACGGCGTGGGAAGAGGAAGAGATGGACAAGCCGATGGAAATCGATGAGATACGAGTAGACCCCTCCCCTTTCCAGCTGGTCGAGAGAACATCATTACATAAGGTTGGTGAAAAAAAAGATCGAAACGAACAGGTGTCACAAAGATGATTAGAAATCCCAAGTTTGACAAATGAAATAAACCAAAACATAACTTCCTTGGTGGAGATAATTATGAGTATAAACATTATTTAACAAAATATACATAGATTAATTAGTTTGGTAGTAAATCTGTCATAATAAGCAATTCACCAACAAAGGAAAATGTCCTTTTCTATTTTGTTCATATTGACTTAAAGGTGATTTGAAGGTTGCTTTCCATTGTATCACTTTAATGAATTTGCTGCTGAAATTAAGATTGATTAATGTTTTAGTGTATGAAATGCTCGCTGACTTAAATCTTCCCTTGTGCACACCAAGCCTCTCTTTCATCAGCTCATGTTTTCGGGACCCGCTCGTCTGTTGCTATGTAATAAGTTATTGGATCCAGCTGCATTTTATGTACATTTGTCAAGAGTTATTTTTCTGTCACAGGTATTATATAATCAAAGTGTATATATAGAGTACATGGAGTTCTGCTCCTCAGGCAGCAACAAGACTTTTGTTGATGCTCCCACACTCTGCTCCTCAAGTTGTTTACTTCTTACTTCTCTTTCGGCTGCGGATGTGGAAAACCTTGACTTTGAAAGGGAAGTGCTACATGAAAAATAGTAAAGATTGAAGAGCTAAAAGATCAACATTTACATTTTTGACCGTGGAACCACACATTTTGACAGTATGCAGTAGGCGGATGGGTTGTTACATAAACATTCAACCTTTTGTAGGTGGGAGTCGTGCCTGACGGTTATGGGTGAAGTACGTTTTCAGTGATTAACCTACATTCTAAGGAAACGTTTTTACAACCATTAGCCGCATTCACACCGCAGGACTTTCCCTGGTACTTTGGTTCTTTAGTTCCGTTAGTACCAATATGTCGCGTTCACACCGCCGGGACTCCTCACTGCTGGTGTCGGTACCAGATGTGTTCGGGGTACCATATGTGTTCGGGGTCCGTCTCTTACCAGTGACGTCACGACGTACGACTAATGACGTCAATGACGTCACGCTTTGTGATTGGCTGTACGGTAATTTACCCACGCTGTCTAGAGTATAGAGGGGTACTTTGATCATTACATTACATTGCATTTAGCTGACGCTTAAGTGCATTCGACCAACAAGATCAAAACTTGAAGAAATACAATAAAACTTGAAGAAAGACAAAGACGAATGAGGAGAAGAACAAGAGAAATCGAAGGTAAGAAGTATATAACGTAATATGGTAGGTAATATGTAATATGTTCAGTGCCGTTGGCACGTTAGTTCAAACAGTAACAACGGACTATGTTTCTTAGCGGATGCATGTCAATTTAAATCAATACATACAACTATTTCACATGGACAATACTTAATACTACTTATTTCGTATTGATTGTTATATTTGATTATATTATATATTATCAATAAATTATATATTATATATCAATATGATATACTTTTCTATATAATAGATTATCAAAAAAAGTATTTATTAAGTAAGGGATAATGTGCAGCAATCACAATCAAGTCCACAATCGAATCCATAAAGACAAAGTAAATCTGTTTACAGTTGTTTCATATGGATGTTGAGAGGTATCCATATATCTCTTCATTTTGCTCTCAAAGTGCACCAGATTGATGCATTTAACTTCAATATTTTAAAAAAATTACTCCAAAGGGAGTGCTTGTTCTTCCTTCTGTCTGTCTGTATCTGTGTATTCTCATGTTCCGATTAACCCAGCCAAATTTTTCTTCTTTTGTGTCTTGATGTGATCTTGAGTTGAGGCTGATCCTCTTGCTGTGGTCCCGCATCCTGGATCCTCTATCCTGGGTTCTGGATTAAGTTCGTGGCTTCGTCTCCTGTCTCTGCGTCCTGCCTGCGGTCTCGTCGGTGCGCCTCCCTGGAAGGTCCCGACAGGATTGTTGGACATCTTCGTGGATTCATCTAATTTATTATAACACATGATTTTCTAACATTCGTCTACCTATGTTGTAAAATGTATATCTCTTCTGGATGGTACACACGCCATCATCTGCCCGTCTGTCTGTCCTGGGAGAGGGATCCCTCTTCTTGTTGCTCTCCCCGAGGTTTCTCCCATTTTCCCTTAACTGTTGGGTTTTCTCTGGAAGTTTTTCCTTGTCGATGTGAGGGTCTAAGGACAGAGAGGTGTCGTTTTTCTTCTCATTTTTTTTTTTAAACTGATATTCGAACAAACTGCTGTCTGTATTAGCTGGGGTAAAATGTCTTCTACTGTAGGTATTTCGTTATTATTTGTACAGCACTTTGGCATCGACCAAAGTCGTTTATAAATTGCTTATAAATAAATTGATTTGATTGATGTTGATTTGAAAGGGTGTGCGCCAAGTTCCATATTAGACCAATGAAGATTTCGACCAATTCCTGGAAGTAAAATAAGTCGGAATAATTTTTCAAATGCGTGCGGTTCAGTTGTTTATGCAGATGATAGTGTATGTAGTGTGTTCATCGCCTCTTCTATAGGAGCAAGTCTTGATTTCCTCCAGTCTGGCCGTGGGGTGTGTATTCCATCCATTGTATGCTCAACTCAAGTTAGGTATTAAATGCCGACAACTCCAAGACTCATGATATTCTCAGGTGGCAAAATTAACTTCTTTTCTCCCCACATTTGTACTGTTAAAGGGACTGGAACATTTGACATTGAAAGGGTCACTACATATTCAGTATCGTGAGGGTTTTATTATTGATCAGAACTTATCTTTCAAGTCACACACTGAAAATGTTGTTTTAAAATGTAGGGTTTTCTCCTTTCAGGACAAGGAAACATGTATGATCTCTGCAACGTTTTACAGTAATTGGTTCTGTGATCTGCTTTACATGGATGCCTCTGATCCAGGCCTAAAGAGGTTTGGATACTGTGTACCTTGGGTGCATTATGTTAATTAGCATATGGCCCGGTAGTGGTATATATGTATACGGTTATATATATATATATATATGACTATATATATATAGTGTGAGTTTGAGATAAATATGCACTTTGATGAAATTATTAGTTGTTACTTGAGTAAAAACGTNGTACTTTAAAGCAGTTATGACCACACGTACTACAACACCGGAGCGGTGGAATGATGAGGAAGTGTCGGCGCTTCTGGCAATTTACTCTGAGGACGGGATGCAGCAGCTTCTACAGAAAGCAGTTCCCAACTCCAAATGTTTTGAGCGATGTTCGCAAAAGCTACTTGAGCGGCGTGATGCCGTTATTGTTATGTCTTGACTGTGCAATAAAACAAACAAACTGGCGAAGCTTTATTTATTGTGTCCCACCCCAAATTTGCAGAATAGAAGAATGTGAGAGCAGACAGGTGTCGGTGGTTGAATTTATCTACAATGTTGCAACCTTGTGCAGCAATGGCAGGGGCAGAAACACAAGTCTTACACACATAAACACGTAATTTATCATGTCATTTGTTTTAGATAAATAAGGGAAAAACACCAAACAACGGTTAATGTCCTTTTCCAAAATCAGCCTGAGGGGGTAATATATAATAAATACATAAAGATAAAGTCCATTGTTATAATAGGGTATTTTATTTGTAAATGACCCTTATAACCCAGCCTCATGGTGCTTCTTCTCTCGTTTTTTTTTGTACTCGCCGTGAAGTGGTTTTGCGGCCTGCCAGTAAACCCAGAGAAGAAGAAGATGAAGTGACGTCAGCGTAATCTTGCCTCAGGGAAAGTACTGCGGTGTGAATGCGATTGGCACTAGCCCCCTGGCGGATTCAGTGCCGTGGTACTTTAGTGCCGGCACTAAAGTACGGCAAGTCCTGCGGTGTGAAAGCGGCTATTGTCCCTGCCAGAGGAGTGAAGGAAAGAAACAAGCACCTGTTATACTTCACAATTCATTTGCTCCCTGATCAGTACAAACACAGATCCATCACCGCTCAGCAAGAGTTTTGGGCACAATATTGATTATTCAGTTACTAAAATGTAAACAAAAGTATTGTTTTTCAGATGTTTATATTAGTAAACTAAATACCTCTGGTTTTAGACTGTAAGTAAAAAAAAAAAGAATTCTAAACATGTCAACCTCTGGATCCAAATAGCACTGTAGTTATGCTAACCAATTGTTCACTAAATGTTCTTAGATAGCTTGGCATTTACGAGAACTTCCTGTCAGCATTTTGATCATATTTAAATTTTCAACGAAACTGCATGACAGGTCTTTAGAATGGAGATGCGTTCAGAGCTATTCTGTGCCACCAGAGTTCAGATGTTACTTATTCTATTTACCAAAGAAGCATGCTCAGTTGTGTCTGTATCTGCGTGGTTGAGCTTTCCACATTGGGGATTTTAACAATATAATCTAATGTTAAAAATGTAAAATATGCCGAACATTAACTTTACATGCGCACAATTCCAATGATAGGAATTATTATTCATTTTTTCCTGCGTTATACAATCAATGTGAAATGCTAACAATGTCATAATGACACATCTGAGGGCGATGAAGGATTCGCAGAAAGTGTGAAAGAGATTGTGATATTACTGTTAGTGTGATTTAACTCTCCAGTTAATAACCAGAATATTATTGCGCAAAAGGAGGCGTTGTAATTGAAGTTTGCTGATTCACAGTGGTGAAAGATGTACTCTGATCTTGTGTTCAAGAACAAGTAGCTATACCACAGTGTAGGATTTCTCTGTTACAAGTAAGTAAAGAACTTAAAAATGATACTTGAGTTTATGTACTTATGTAAGTCACATTACAATATTCCAGATGAATATAAAGAGGTCATACAAAGTGCGACCTTATCAGAGTTCTTTGAGCACTCAGGACTTTTTCTTTCCCCGGTTCGTTCTGTGCCGTTAGCTTTCATCTTTCATGTTACTGTCTGGAGTTACAGAGAGAGTCAAAAGGCTTCCTGGTCTGAGAGGTCAAAGTCTACATGTGTCCTAACGTGACCTTCCTCTCCACAGACCCACACCCTGTTCTCACTGCTGGGGCTCAGTCACGCCTATGTGACCAGTATTGGCAAACTGGTGGGAGTGGTGGCACTTAAAGAGGTAAGAAACTTGTATTGCTGTCTATGTTTTTTTATTCTTTCCAAACACAATCTGATGAGTGCTGCCTTGAACCAAAAGCAAGCAGTAAAGTTGATTTAAACCCCCATCGATCTCAGTCCAGAAAGCCTTCTTCCTTTGAATTCACTCAACATTTAAAAAGCTTCCTTTGACTTTGAGGAGTCCAATTGGCATTCGCTACTAATTTACTCTGAGTTTCATAAAGCTTTTTGTTAGCATAATCAATATCCTCTCTAGATGAATCAGGGTTTCTTTGATCTACTCCACTCCTTCTGTCTTTCCCCATTTGTGTCTCCGTCTCACCCCTCTGTTCCTAAACCGTATTTTATTTTACTTTTCTTCTTCACTTTAGAAATCCTTTCATCCTTTAACTTACCTATTCCTCCCTCTGACTAAAAACTGTTGCTGTCTTTATACTGCTTTCCTAAAATGTCACCACTTCCCTCCATCTTGTTCCTCCACCGTTTCCCTCCCTCCTCCGCCCCTCCAGCTCCAGAAGGCCATCGAGGGCTCCACCCGCTCTGGCGTCCGGCTCCGTCCTCCGCTCGCAAGCTTCCGCAAACACAGCTCTGCCCCTAAACCTCCACCTTCTTCTTCCACTGCTCCCTCCTCTCCGAGCTCCACCTCCTGTCCCTTAGCTCTCCCTGTTCCCCAGCCTCCACCCCCGTCTCCCCCTCACCATCACATCCACGAGACTGAGACGGAGGCGTGGATCGAGGGCGTGACCTTGGAGGTGGAGGAGAGCAGCAGCTACACCACGGGGAGCGGCCCCGGGGCCTGCAGCTCTCCCACAACCAGTTGCAGCGACAACAGCAACGTCAGCCTCCCTCCATCCACCCCTCCTCCCCCGGTCCCTCCCCCCTCCACTCCTCCTCCTTCTCCTTCTTCCACCTCCATCCCTCCCTCCACCCTGACACCCTTACAGAGACTGCTTGGAGGGGATGAAGACAGTGATGATGAGCCAATGGTGTAGAGTAGAAAAGAGTGATGGTCATGTTTTTTTTATAATGGAAAACTTTTTTAATGGTCTGAGTTTTGTTTCAGTTTCTTAACTCGTTGCTCTGGTCTTTGGACACTCATTTACCTCTTTTTGTCGCTGTGTATGTAGAGTAAAGATTTCAGGCATCATTTCTTAATTTTGTAAGTTCATCCCTCCCTACCAAATACTTCTCCCACCACAACCTCCTTCACCTACTCTCGATAAGCTCTGTTTGTGTGTTTCTATTTAATACTTAACCTGCCTCAATGTTTTTCATTTCTCAAGATTCAACCAATTTGAGTTAATATTCTCTGGACTGAAGTTGATTGTTTTCTCTTATCCAAACAAAGCCCAGAATTCAATATTACATTTTTTGAATTACATTTTTAAATCATGATAAAGTCACTCTACAGAGGAATACATGTAGAATACACTTCTATATGTTGCATGTTGATGGATTAGACACCTCTTTATGCCACAGTACTCTCCAGGTAAAACACATGCTGCATCTTTTAGTTTTTATAAACACAATATACTCTTTAAACAGTCATCCAAACCTCTGCACACAAGAATACTAGCTCTCTCGTAACCTGTGTCTTTAAAACGTTTTTTATCGGATAAAGCAGGAGCTATTGATTTTGAAACTGGCAGCAGACCATCTGTATGCAGCAGACTTAAGGAGCTGTGCAGCCTGTGTTGAAGATTGCCCAACGCCCCAAAACGACCTCCACATTGCGTGCTGACCTTGTGGCTGCGGCCTCACAGCTCATCACGGTCAGGTTGATGGACAGTGCAGCTAAAGGCGGCTAACGAGGGACAAACCGCTGTATACTGGAGGTCCTGGAGATTATTTCCCCCTCATGTTCCCTAACAAAGAAAACTTCCAGATGTTGTTCACATGTGACTTCTCTTAATTACTTAGGATTATGATTATAATATGAATAATGTTGCAAGAAGAAATTCAAACAAATAGACAGAAGCTTTTCATTCTGAAATCCATCTTGCTATCAACAGTGACATTCATTACAGTGAATGACAGCTGACATTTTGTCACATAACATTAACACGTTTAATGAAGATGAAGAGGTATGTTGACATAGAGATATTTACTAATTACTACATTAATTGGCCTAATGAATTCCCTCATTAGCAATACTATTAAATATAGGACTGCCAGCGTGATTATGAGAGCAGATCAGGCAACCAGAGAAATCCAATTTGCTATTTTAACATTAGTGTACCAATGAAAAGTGCATCAAGAGTTCAGGAACAAATGGAAAAACAAAACAATTAACCGGAAGAGGCTGAAAGCTGCGTGGAGGTTTAGAGATGGGGGTTATATCCTGTTGAGGTCAGCATAAGTCAGTAAGTATGCACTCTTTATATTAGATGTTTATAACACTCACATCATTTAAGTTGAACCAAAGTCACTCACTAAACTTCCCTCCTGCCTCTTAGTAGACTTCTGAAAGACGAAGCATTCTTTTTTTAACTCCTTCAAATCCTGATGATGAGTTTTAAGTTATTTGCTTTCTCAAACTCAGTTAAAGGTGCGGTAGGTAATTCGCTTCAGAAACACTTGTTGTTGTACTTCATGGAATGCTCTTAACATCCCGATAGCAATGCATATATTAAATGCTTTGACAATAAATATATACAAATATTTCATCTCTGGAAGCCGTAGCGCTGTAAAAAGCACGACCAATCATCTGCCCCGGCCCGCTGCAGATAACTGGATGGCCTACCTGCCTGTCAGCCTTCCATCTCGTGCACAAACTTATCTCGTGCCCTCATTGGTCATGTGCACGTCCGTGTGTGATAGAGGAGGGGCTCTGTAAGGAAGAGGCAGATTTTTTTCGGTTGTGTATTTTCAAATTCTAGCGCACTCGAGCTGGTTTCTCCATTCTTACCTATACCTACCTTTAGGGCTCATAATACTGTCTCTAAAAAAGTAATTTGATCTGAAGTGACTACCTTGAGCATTTTATTTTTGAACGTTTCTCCTTGTGAACCCTTTTTTTTCATGTATCCCTCCATATCAGCTTTCTATCTCCTTATTATCTCCTGGATTCAAATTCTCAGGTACTGCCTTAAAAGTCTTTAAAACTTGCAGATTCAATGAAAAGCTTCTTCATGTTTTGTGTGTGTGTGTGTGTGTGTGTGTGTGTGTGTGTGTGTGTGTGTGTGTGTGTGTGTGTGTGTGTGTGTGTGTGTGTGTGTGTGTGTGTGTGTGTGTGTGTGTGTGTGTGTGTGTGTGTGTGTGTGAATTCAAATGTGTATGTCCATTTCTTAAGAGAGCTCTGCACTGGTCTAAGTGCTGATGTCTTCTGTCTGTGGTTGTGTTACATTTATCTTTAAATGTATCTCTTAGCAAAGTCAAATGCTATCTGAAATGTATAACACTGTGAAAGATGTAGCGAAATAAAGTTTTATTTAGTCTTTTTTTTTTGCATTGTTCATCCTCATGTGTTGATCTTCCTTCATCCAGGGTAAAGGCTGACCTGCAGGAAAGAGCCACATTTAAACAGAGAGAAGAGTTTCTCCTATACTCACGTGGAACAAGAGCTGAACTCAGTGAAGGTAGGGCAGAAATATAGTTTTTACTTTAGAAGTCACTTGAAAAAGCTGCTCTGATGACAAAACATATCCAAAAATAATCAGCATGGCATCTCGAACTTGGATACAAAGCTCCTTTATTTTTCTCTTTCAGTATAACCACTTAATAACTATAAATGATAATTAATCATTTGTATCTGACACATCAAAAGAATATTTGACAGCCAGGATGACAGGATCTATGCAGCTACCTGCTGTTTCTTACCTTCATTGCCTTTTTTCCTCATGTTCATTTGTGAGACTTGTGTCACTTTTTCTGGATGTGTCCTTCAAGCAGAAAGTCATTTTAAGCATTAAGCATTATTGCTTTTCGGACAGCTATTGTGAATCAAGAGGTTTTGAATCTTAGTACATCGAGATATATTCTATTATCTGATTTTTGAATTGCCTCCACAGAAGTAATGAAAGTGATGAACACGAGTGACATCAGACAGCATGAGTGATAGCATTTGTTTTTATTCCCAAAAAAGCAAAGAAGTTTCACTCAAAATGCCTTCATTTCCCATGATGCCAGGCGTCACCTTTCTTTGTTAAATCTCTCGGCCTTCAGATGTGTGCCTTGTGTGTTTGGACACTAAATGCTCTACAAGAGCAACAAGAGGACAAACAGAGGACAGATGGTTATCACAGCGCTCAGGGGCATCGTGGGCTGTGATCACTGGAGTGAATCGTCCTCTCCAGCCGCTGTAGGTAGAATCTTTTAGAAGAGATGATGTAAATGCTTGATTCTGTTCTACGTTTCCTTAGGCAAACACACATTTATAAAATACACTGTTCTGAGCATTTCTGGCTGACCATCTCTAGCACGCATGCAGACTTTTGACATATATTGTTATAGTCTGTCTTATTTCAAGTCTTTGCACTGGCATCCACACACTTCTACACATTCAAATGAAGTCAGTAAAGCATGTTGCTTTTAAGGGCTTCTTCTACTGTATTATGCAGCATTTCTTTATTTAGCAGTAAAAAAAAAACACATTGCTAGCCACCGACCACAACAGCCAAACACACACAGGAAGCCTTCAAAAAGATCAGGATAATAGCACTTGACCGTACAAGGGCACTTCTCTGCCTCCAGAAATAAAGTCTACACGACTCGGTTCAATGGATGAGGATTTTTTTTGTGTTTTAGTGGAATTGATGACTACAAGGAAACGGCTGCTGCTCAGTGAGAAAAACCTCTGACCTTCACACTACAGTTAGAAAATGATACAGCTGGACAATTAGGTTAAACCTGTCTGTGTGTAATGTATTATATACAATAAGTTTGGCTGTCAAATCTAAGGTTAGGAAAAGGGGCACGTATCAATGCACAAAGTCGCTATATATGTGTCTGGGTTCGCTCATATATTTTTATCTTAGAGGGACCAAAGTGTGACCTTGAGTGGGAGGGCTTTTTTAATTGGCCCTCACTTCAGATTGATGCTGATTTTATGGTTAAGGATTGGTTTGACAGTGAAGCTCAGAATGAAGTCTAGGTTAAAGCTGGTGCAATTTGTAATGCCTAGTCACATAGAGGGCGGTATGTAACCAAAAGAAAGCCTAGAAACAGCAGGGAAAAGGTGTAACCTAAGGGCTGAACAGCTGATAGTTTATTGAAATAACAATGCCATTCTGTTAACTTTAAGTGTGGTGGTGACCTTGAGTTTACATTAGCTATATGTGTGTACTTTGCCACTGCCCCAGGGCTGTATGGTCTGTGTTACTTTACATTTTGATAGTACATTTATTGGACTTAATCGGAAGTGGCAGTAAAAGGTTCAGTGCCTCACAATCGCCTCTCAAGGAACAAGTGATATTACAAGTTAGCTAGCATGCTAGTTTCAGTTGATAACTCTGGAACAAATAACATAGACATCTGGATAAACTGTTAACACAGTAACCTCTTCACTCTGATAATGTTCAATGGATCATATCTTACAAATGTCACCTTTTAAGGTTTGTTAGATACAGTAAATTAGGCAATGTGTTATCTTGGTGATGGTCATCATGTCTGTGCACTTTTATGGCACATGGTGGAAAAGAACAATACCAAGAAGAATGTGTTTCCCAGAATATATATATTTAACACACAAACAAAGCCACATTCATACATACATACATACAGTCTTACACTCATACAAATACATATCAGTTTATTGGATTTTTTTCTTTTATAATAAAAAGCAATTTGATATATTATTACTTTGTATACGGTGTTATACTGTAAGGGCTAGGTCACTGTTAAAAAGCATGCACTTTCTTTTGGTTGTGTCCAG